TATTGAAAGTCGAATACTGATCATCGCAGGCAAACCCAGATCTGTTTGAGAGGACGCTCATGGAGGTTTCAACTCCCAGCCACCCCCGCTACGGCCAGCACCTTAAGCGAGACGAACTGAAGGATCTCATCAAGCCAAGAGCCGACTCAACTGCAAATGTGCTCAACTGGCTCGAGCAATCCGGCGTCGAGCCTCGAGATATCCAGAACGACGGCGAATGGATCAACTTTCTCGCTCCTGTAAAGCGCGCAGAACAGATGATGGGCACCACGTTCAAGACCTACCAGAGCCAGGCACGTCCTGGAGTCAAGAGGACTCGTTCGTTGGGCTACTCTGTCCCCATGGAGGTTCGCAGCCACATTGACATGATCCAACCTACTACTCGCTTCGGTCAAATGCGCGCCGAAGATAGCCAAGTCCTCACACAGGAAATTGCGCCTTTCTCCAAGCTTGCTGCTGTTAATGCCACGTGTAACACAAGGATCACGCCTGATTGCCTCGCAGACCTTTACAACTTCCAGGACTATGACGTTAGCGACCAGGCCAACGTAACGATCGGAGTGAGCGGGTTCCTTGAGCAATACGCTCGTTTCAACGATCTCGACCTGTTCACACAAAGGTTTTCTCAAAGTCTCGCTGGTAAAAGCTTTGGAGTACAGTCTGTCAACGATGGACCATTTCCCCAGAACTCATCGGCCAATAGCGTCGAGGCCAATCTCGACATCCAGTACACAGCCGGCCTGGTGAACATATCAACCACGTTTTACACTGTTCCAGGACGAGGACTGTTGGTTCCTGATCTTGATCAGCCCGATGAGGACGACAACAACAATGAGCCCTACTTGGATTTCTTCACTTACCTTGTGGGTCTGGAGGACGAAGAGTTGCCCCAAGTTCTAACCACTTCGTACGGTGAGACGGAGCAAAGCGTCCCTGCCGAGTACGCCAAGAAGGTCTGCGATATGATCGGTCAGCTCGGTACTCGTGGCGTCTCAGTCATCTTCTGTAAGTATTCGTTCGAGCTTGGAGGCGAAAATGCGCCCAGACGTCATCAGCCGCGATGTCTGGGGGTAGTGTCGTCTCTAAACTCAATCCTCACCCAAACTCTCCATCAATATGAACATGAGTGCTAACAATACTCAGCCAGCGGTGATACTGGTCCAGGCTCTGCTTGCCAGACCAATGACGGCAAAAACACGACTCGTCTTCAGCCAATCTTCCCCGCCTCATGCCCCTACGTCACCTCCGTAGGTGGCACTCGCGGAGTAGAGCCTGAGCGTGCTGTTGATTTCTCTTCTGGTGGCTTCTCTGATCTGTGGCCCCGCCCAGCGTACCAAGAGAAGGCTGTTTCCGACTATCTCAGTAAGCTCGGGTCTCAATGGGAAGGCCTCTACAATCCCAACGGCCGTGGATTTCCTGACGTCGCCGCTCAAGGACTAGGTTTCCAGGTAAGTCTTAATCCCTGTACGAACTGTATGTGAGGCAAATACTGACTCTCCTTCTCTAGGTTGTTGATAAGGGTCGATTGTCGTCTGTCGGAGGGACTAGTGCCTCAGCGCCCGTCTTCGCATCGGTCGTTGCGCTTCTCAACAACGCTCGCATGGCGGCTGACATGCCTTCACTCGGTTTCCTGAACCCTTGGATCTACGAGCAGGGCTACAAGGGTCTAAACGACATTGTCGATGGAGGCTCTCGTGGTTGCACTGGTCGTTCCATCTACTCCGGACTTCCAACCGCACTTGTGCCTTACGCTTCCTGGAATGCAACGGAGGGATGGGATCCTGTGACCGGTTATGGTACACCTGATTTCGAGCAACTGGTTCGCCTCGTAACTGCGCCGCAGTACGGTCAGCGCCGCGTTCGTCGTGGAGGCCTCCATGAAGAAGCATAATGCAAGCAAAGACTTGTGACCTTCTTTACCTAGATATTTCTCCATCAGTAGAGCAATTCCTATCATGAAATTGACACCCTGGAGCTTAAATTGACGCAACATTTTCCAGTTTGCTTGCTTCATTTCAGTGTAGTCGATATCAAAATGCGCCCCTCAGTGACGATGGCGGCTTCTCCGGGTGCGCGACCAATCAGCCACTTGACGTGCGGAAGCCACAACCGATTGTTGCTGACATGCTGACACTCTCACAAACCTTGAACGCACCTCAAGCCATGGTCCTGCAGACATCATTTCAACAGTCGTTGCTTCAGACCCTTCAGAGGAGACGGGAAAGCCCATGTGTTTGATTGACCACATAGTTTTCGTCACAGCGACCCGCCACAGCATCGATTTTCGCGAGCTTCCCTATGCGGTTAAAGCGCACAAGACTTATCTGCGCCGAAGCATGACAAGCATCCGCCATGGTGCTTGATCCTTCGACACCTGAATGGGAGCGATTTTCTCGAAGGGCGACTTCAGCCAATCACGCAGCTCGACCATCCTTTGCCCCAGTACCTGACGACGCGCACTGAGCCTACCGTGGCCCCGGATTGCGGCCAGAGATAAGAGTTGGTGTTGAAAAGCCCGAAGAGATAGTTCCCCGTCCACTATCAAGAAATACGAAGTGGACCTGCCAGTGCTTGAAGGCAGTGGCGGCGTCTTTGGCGGGCCTTGGAGAAGCTTTGCGCCGTTAGCTTCGGTCCACCAGTGTGGTCGTGTGTCTAGTCGCATGCATTCCCCGCCTCTATCGCGGTCGTACCTGGAAAACAGTACCAGCATCATGAGCAATCGCAGCAATGTCGACTACCATCGCGCCATGTTCAAACCTCAACTACACAACTTCGCGATCGTGCGCATACAACTATACTAGAGTATAACGGAGCTCATGCGCAGGGTCAAGCGTTTGAGTGATTTCGGTGTGCTTCGGGGGTAAGCAACAATATGCGACGGAACTTCACGCCTGCCTAATCAGGTAAAGAGCTGGAGCTATGTTCGCCATGAGCTATCTGTGTTTGTGCAGGTACAGGAAGATGTAGGCCGCGTCGCGTGCGTGGTAGACCCGAGGTGACGTCGGTCTGGCGCTCGACGCTTTTACTTCAAGAAGGCTGGACTGCCCGCTCGGTTCCCTCTTCTTCACGGCCATTGATAGTCACAGCACGAGCTTGACTAACGAACGACCCCGGCACTGCGATCGCGAAGCACGTCAAGATGCAGCTTCTTTCACTCCTCGCTGTTGGTGGCCTCACGGCAAGCGTTTCCGCACGAAGCGCTCGCTCTGTCGGCAAGAAGACGGAACTTCCTCGTCCTCGTCTGACTGTCCCCGAGACCAGTCTTCGCCCTCACAAGCGTCAGACCACTCAGATTATCACCACTGAGGCGTCCAAGGGTATGGTAAACGTTCCCTCTTACGTACCTCTAGCTAACAACTCTCAGCATTCGCTGTCAACGGAACTGCGGGAGCGATCCCCGACGTCGACTTCGACATTGGCGAGTCCTACGCGGGTCTTTTGCCTATCAGCGATGCCGCCAACGAGACCTCTGAACTGTACTTCTGGTTCTTCCCATCCGAGAACCCAGACGCGGATGACGAGATCACCATCTGGCTGAACGGTATGATCATTCCCACGTACATGATCAATTCCCTCTAACATATGTCCCAGGTGGCCCAGGTTGCTCTTCTCTAGAGGGATTCCTCCAAGAGAATGGTCCCATCTCCTGGCAATACGGCAGCGGTCCAGCAGCTGTATACAACCCCTGGAATTGGGCCAACCTTACCAACATGGTCTGGGTCGAACAGCCCGTAGGAACCGGATTCACCCAAGGAAACGCTACAGCTACCTCCCAGGAAGAAACCGCTGAGGAGTTCCTCGGCTTCTTCAAGAACTTCATCGACACATTCGGTCTGCAGAACCGTAAGGTGTACATCACTGGCGAGTCGTACGCCGGACGCTACGTCCCTTATATCGCCGATGCCATGTTGAGCCAGAACGACTCCTGCTACTACGACGTCAAGGGCATCATGTTCTACGACCCCAGTGTGGCCGAGGACGTCCTGCTAGAGGACATCCCAGCTGTGCCCTTCGTCGACCAATGGGCCGGTCTCTTCAACTTCAACCAGACCTTTATGGACGATATCCACAACCGCTCTGAGGCCTGCGGCTACACCGAGTACATGGAGAAGTACCTTACTTTCCCTCCTCCCAGCAAGCTCCCGTACCCTGAGAAGGACGCCAAGACCGAAGGCTGCGGGCTGTGGGAAGACATCTACAACGCCGTCTTCTACACCAACCCTTGCTTCGACGTCTACGCTATTGCTACCACCTGCCCTCTCCTCTGGGACGTTCTCGGTTTCCCTGGTTCTTTCGACTACCTCCCTCCCAACACCGAGATCTACTTCAACCGTACCGAAGTCCAAAAGGCCATCAACGCGCCCATCCAGCCATGGGCCGAGTGCTCCAACGGCGTTCTCGACACCGACTCGTCTCCCCAGTCGTCCTGGGAAGTTATTCCCCGCGTCATCGACGCACTAGACCGCACCGTCATCGCACACGGCGAGCTCGACTACATCCTGCTCTACAACGGTACTCTCATGGCTATCCAGAACATGACTTGGGGCGGCATGCAAGGTTTCCAAAACCCACCTGTCGATGACTTCTACGTTCCTTACCACGAGGACTTGAGCCTTACCAGTTTGAGCGCCAAGGGCCTCATGGGCAAGACCATCACCGAGAGGAAGTTGACGTACGTCCAGCAGGCTTTGAGTGGACACATGGTACCCCAGTACCAGCCTAGCAGCGCGTACCGCCAGCTTGAGTTCTTGCTTGGACGTATCGAGAGCCTGACCAGCCGGGAGCCTTTCACCACGCTGCCCAAGATGCCGCAGAGCAACGAGACCAGCATTGTCTCTCGTGATCTGGGAGCTATGGGTGGAGAGTTCAAGAAGTGGTTCTAGACTATTAGTATGCGCCTTTGATGTTATAACGCAATGAATACGACTACGTAATGTAACTCATGAAGCATGCGTGATGTCTGCGTAGATTGATTGTTCTACTGTGATATCGAAACAACACTAACCGGCAACGTTCTCAGCCACCCTCCGCCCATCTGTACCCAACACACCTTCTTGTCTCTGCGCCCTCTCCTCCGGCACTTCAGCAAAGATCTTGGTGATGGCCTCGATCGTGGTATTTCCCCCACTGAAGACGACGCCAATGTTCCAGCCCTTATCCCCAGCCTCCCTCTCAACCATCTTCCTAAAGTCCTCGTTGTACAGTATAGTCGCCAGACCCACGACCGCGCTCGGCTCGACAAAACACTTCATCCTCTCCAACACCAGCTTCATCGCATCTTTGATGTTCTGCTCTGTGACGGCGTAGAGACTATGCACATAGTCCTTGTTCGAGATAACACCCCATGTATGGTCACCGAGGGGCGTACGCAGGCCATCGGCGATTGTCAGGGTCTTGACGCTGGTAACGCGTTCGCCCGCTTCGACGCCCCTCGTCGCATCGTCACCACCCTGGAAACTAGGTTCTGCGCCGAAGACACGTACCCCAGTGCGGTGGAGAGCGACTGCGATGCCGCTCAGCATGCCGCCGCCACCACAGGGCGCGATGACAGCGTCGAGCTTCTCGCCGCTTCCCAGAAGCTTGCTGACTTGATGCTGTATCTCCAGCGCCATGGTGCCCTGGCCGAGTATGATGTGGGGATGGTCGTAGGGAGGGATCAGGGTAGCGCCTGTGTCCTTGATTACGTCTGCGACGACGGCTTCGCGTTCGGTGCTCGTGGAGCCGGAGAAGTGGATGTTGGCGTCTTGTGACCGCGTGCCGGCTATCTTCGAGGGCGTGGATATCGAGGGCATGACGATGTGTGCGGGTATGGAGAAGGTTCTTGCGGCAAGCGCGAGGGCCTGCGCATGGTTTCCTGTTGATGTCAGTCCTGCCTGCCCGGTATGGTTATAAGTAGACGCACCGCTACTGTGTGTGACTACTCCCTTGCTCTGCACTGCTTCCAATCCGTCCTGTTCGATCAATCGCGTGACGGCATGGAAAGCGCCGCGTACTTTGAAGGCGCCGATGCGCTGGAAGTTTTCGCACTTGAAGAAGAGGTTCACCTTGGGCTTAGCGGGCTCTTGGCCTTCCCATTGTGTTCCCTGGAGTGCTTCTGGAGCTTGAGGCGTATTGGCGAGAGTGTTTAGGGTGGTGTTGGTCAAGACGGGCGTGTCATGGATGTGCGGCTTGATGAGGGCGTGGGCGGCTTCGACCGAGGCGCGCGTCAGGGAGGCATGGGGGGCTGCGGAGGACATGGCTGCCACTGAAGAGAGCGGCGATGAGCTGGATGCATCCTGGATAAGACTGTTCAGGATGTGACTCAATGGGGGACCCGGGTACAATGGTGGGGAAGATAGCGCGGAGAGGAAGGCAAGGCAGACAGCAGGGACGCTCCGCGCGGGTCGCGCCTTCTGGCCCAACACGCGACGGATACTTTTCCGAGTTTCTCCTCCACTCCTCTCTACTACCTTGACGCGCCTTTCGACACAACGGCAGCTCGTCCATGTACAGTAGTTACGACGATGCCTTTACCCCAAATTCGCTGTTTCAAGTAAGACGCCAGACAAGTGCTCACCGAGTCGTTGTTTACCACCCACGCGCCTGCAATGTCTGCCATTGCCAATGCCAATGTTCCTATCTAAGAAGAGCTATCCTGCTGTTTAGGCCGATCTGTCTCTTTCTTCATACTAAGCTATCTAAGGTCACCTTTGATTTATACCTTATTCGACACCATGATGGGACCCACTTGCAACCCATGGTTCCATGCTGCCATTTCCCATAGTTACGTGACTTCGAATTATGCGATGCTAACAAAAGGAAGATCCTGTTCCTCTGAATCGGACTCTCATATCTACTCGAACAGTTCGGCAATATCTATATCGCACTAAAGGTCGGTGAAACCGGAAGTCCTTGCAATCGGGTCAAGATCACGTCGGTACGCAGCAACCACACACCCAGAAGAGATGAACAGCCAAGTCGACTCCCCACTCGGACAGCTGGTTGAACTGTTCGGAGGACTGACCATGGCAGAGATCGGTTCCCACTCAACTCACACCACCCTTAGTGCACTGGACTCACTACCATCGACTTTACAAATGGACAACGCGCCATCATCAGTTTCCAACGACTTATCAAGCCGACCCATCTCGTCAACCCAGTCCGAAGAGATGACTTCTCCATCGACTACGAATCCGCACCTCCCTAACGAGTTGGTTATCCAGATCCTCCATCACGCTCTTCGTCTCGGCCTCGGCTCATCCGTGCCACGACTACCTGTTTGCGCTGATCGATTTCAGAGCCATATATCTCGCAACGGTCGCTTGGCTAGGTATCTGGTTGTATCCAAGTCACTCTATCCCCTCGTTCTAGAGGCTTTTTACCGCGAGAACGAGTTTCGATGCGCCTCACGCGGGATAACTCTGAAGGTGTTGATGGAAGATAAGCCTCGGGAAAGTCCTATCTTGCTGCCCCCGCCACATGCCAGACAGCATATTCGGCGACTGGAGTTGGTGATCTCTTTGGAACACTTTAGTCGGGATTTTACCACTTCATACCAGTGGCAGACACTCGTCAAGCTTTGTTCTGGAAGGGCCAGACTTACTAGAGTCGAATTCTTGCGCTTGGTGATAAAAGAAGCCCCGGGAATGTATTGCGGAAGAAAAACTGCTTTAAACCAACTGAGAGTTGAGGGTCTTGTGATTAGGGCGAAGAAAGAGGTGGTCATTGAAGGCTGGAGAGCGGCAAAGCCATTTATCAAGGTGGAGGCTGAGGTCGTGAAATGGATATAACAGTACGTCAGGAGTAGAAGTCTCCCTCACATTATTAGCAGTCATAGGGAACTTCAAAAGTAAGCCAAGAGTCCTTCAACGTACTATCAGCGATCGATCATGCACCTAATGCTTGAGCCTGAAGACATACGTAGCAGTGTAAATCATCATATTGAAATATGTCACAATAGCCAAGAGGTACTCACAGTAATCACAAGCAACATTCACGATGCACAAAAGCATGTTGGAGAAGACAAAAGATCCTATTCTGCACTACACTATGGCAATGACCAAGCCAGGAGACGACAAACCCCACAAGCCACCACAAACAATTCACAAAGCTGCCCAGAGTCCGCTCAGCATGGCGCTCCTCAAGTCGGAGAGGCCAGCCTCGACGGTGATGTTGAACTCATCACGAGCGCCGATCATGAAGCGAGCCTGATGGTAGATAGCGACCGCCGCCTCGGAGTCGGGGTTGCTGAAGATGGGAGTGATGTGAAGCTGAATCGTCCTCAGATTCTGCATGGTCATCAGATCAGAGAGCTTCCGCAAGGTGTGGGCACTGCGACAGTGCTTGAAGAGGTCGGCAGTGTTGCGGAAGTATATCCTGTTGTCGAGGATGCGGTCGGGCAGTACAGTCGGCTCTCCTGCGTAGCTGTCGGTGAGGACAAGCTGCACCCGGATGTGGCGGAGGGAGGGGAGGAGGTGGACAGAGGGCATGAGTGGCGCGCGGTGTGATGTCTTTGAGATGAACTCGAAATAGTTTTCTTCGTAGAAAACTTGGAGAGCGACCGCCTGGAACTGGCGAGAGACGACGCAGAGCTTGTGCAGTATGCACTTGTGGAGCATGGCGAAGCGGGACGCGTTGATTGGCCTGCCCCGAGGCGAGACCGTGGAGAAGATGAGGATGTTCATGAGAATCATCTTGAGGATCTCGTTGGGGAGGACAACGCTCGGACGAGGCGCGGGCGTCACCATTGCGATGGTGTTTGGAGAAGACATCGTGCTTGTAGCCGATGTGAGTGGAGGTGATGAGGAAGCGTGTTGTGCTTTGAGGTGTATGAGAAGGTTTGAAAGTGCTCGGGAAAAGAAGTTTGAAGGCGACTTTGTACTGGAGAAGTGAGGAACTTTCAGGCTGAGGGAACTGAAGGGAGGCAGGGGGAGGCCAGTTTATATAGACAGAGGGAGACCCTCTAGCGTCTCCTCCAGAAGAATGGTACGCCGCTGAAGAAGAGCGAGGAAGTCTGAAGCTTCCTAATTCTGCAGAATGGAAGCATGAAGTCTGCGATGAAACCGGGCCCTTGCCCTATTATATGGCCTCTGATTCGTCCTGGGGCTGTCCATTCTGTGTCCTTCACCGTACTAGTAGCCTTCATATCTGACTAGACTTCTTCTTTGGGCTCCGATTGGCGGCAGAAAGGCTACCGGAGACGTTCTGGCAGTATGAATGCTGCCTTGGCAGTGAATCCATCACTAATGATGCTTCTTTCAGCGACGATGGAAGAAGAACGAATCGAGTATGTCCAGGACTAGATCTAAAAGGGGTAGGTGGCTTCCTTGGATATCCGTACGAGTCCAGCGAATCAAGACACTTAGACAACGGCGTGGCTCTGTTGGTACCAAGTGAAAGGGTGAGGGCTACGATGGTGGGAGGCCGAAGCAATCGCTGAGGTAGAGGAGCGTTCCAAAGATTGGAAAAATAACTTCCAGAAGGCTGCACATGTCGGTAAGGCTGTGTCATCCTGCAAGAAGAGCTCAAGTAGCGTCCGATGCCTTTAGTCTTGCTTTACTTGCGGTGGAAGCACCATGAAGCTGACTGGAGTCAGCTATGGCGTTCGTTTGCCAGGTAGTTCTTTGCGCTGCACAGCTGGCTGCGTCCGCGGGGAAGCTGCTACCAAACACCGACCACCAATATCAACGCCGAAATTTTGAAGCACCAGCTGCACCCCCAGTTGACGAAGCGACAGCACAGGAAGTGAGCTGTACCCATCGCATACTTCTCACGAGACGAACCAGACCTTGCCCGCAGTCGTTGCCGATGCAAGCTGCCGCGCCTGCTCCTCTCGAACCCCGACGACCCTCCCCCCTCTTCTCCGCAACGGCGGCGACAACGAGTTGAAGGAACTTGAATGAGATGACAAGAAGAAGAATGCCCGAACAACTGCACTGTGCAAGACAGGCCAGCTGAGGGGACAAGAGTGGTGACTCCGTGGCAAGAAAACTCTTCAGCTTCGACGCGGGAGGGTGTCGCAACAAGCCAACGAGAAGGGACATGAAAAGCGGCTGTGGAAGACAGCGCGATGGCAGCATGAAGACGCCACTTCAACGCTCATCGAAAAGAGATCCAGAAAGCACGCCGGGCACAGGCGATACCAGGACACCATGTAGGCAAACCTCAGCGGAGAAGAGCCATGTGAACCTGGAGATACATTAGTCGGTGGTCACAGAGGACTGAGTTTGGCAAATCACGTTAGAATCATGGCAATAGTATCAGAGACAACAGGTCGCAGTCGCCACGCTGCGCGGCAGGACACACATCAGCGGACGCGAAAGTCGAGGTCCAGGACGAATGGGTGCATGGGCGCATGGTACGCATACGAACAAGCTCGTGGTCTGGGAACCGTACCTCGAACGTACCCCAGGATATACACTGCTACATCGCCCGTAGAGCGCATAACCTTAGGGTAAGTTTCGGTATCAGATCGCGACGCGTCGAGAACGAGCTTGTTCGTACTGTCGTGTCGCAGTACCGTGGGAGATACCTGTAGATGTATTAGTTGACGTCAATGAGTGCAAATGTCACAGGTCAATAGCAAGGCAATGAGGCAAGGTGTTGGTGTAGGAAAGATGGAGGCCGTAGGCAGCTGGGCAAGATTGAACTTCCGCCTTGGTCTGTGCACGCTAGCATGGTCATCTCCGTCGCCGGCCATGATCGCTCCCAGTCATCTCCTACAACCTTGGCAATTACACACCGCTTCCCATGCGCGAAATCGACAATACATCGTGATATGCTATGACCAAGAGGTCTCATGCCAACATATCCTCCTCGCAAGCAGAACCTCCAGAGCGGCAGACGTCCTACGATGGGGAGCGTAGCGGAAGCCACGAGGACGGGGATGGCTCGTCGCTGAAGAAGCCGCGATCGTTCATGGCGACCTTGGTATGTGGTCAAGAAATGACATGCACTGCTCTGCTGACTAGAGAAGGCTTGCGACATCTGCAGATCGAGGAAGACGCGCTGTGATGAAGATCGGCCAAGATGCGGCTACTGTAGGAACATGAACTTGGAGTGCACGTATCAGGCACCACGCAGTACGAAGAAAGACCAGTCATTGACTTTGGCAATCAATGCTATCCGAAGACTGGAAGCAAAGATCGAAGACCTGACAACAGCGATCAATACACCAAAGCCGTCGTCTACATTACCACTTTCGCCGGCAGGGCCTATCAACGACCATCAGTCACCCCACACCATCTTCTCACAACCG